AATAAAGCAATAAGCCCCAAGAAGCCGTGGTTTACAGTAAATTTATAACTGTTATAAATTCACTGTAAACCACAGCTTCACGGGGCTTATTGCTTTAATAAAACGGTTATTTCATATATGTAGTAGGTTTCACAAAATAAAACAGAGCAAGCAAAGTGCAATGATATTAATAAACATGTAGTTCCTCAGAAACGGTTGTGGTTCCAACAAAGTGGTTACCGAGCAACACACAAATGTAAACAAAGGTGTAAGTTTGTAGAGTAATTTACAACAGCTTCGAACTTGGCTCAACCAATCAGAATCAAGGACCGGAACTATCCATTTTACAAATCTCAATTTCTGAAAATTGACACTTAAGACTGGTTTTGTGGTCCAGGGTCACATATAATAATTTAAAAGAACCTTTCTATTTTAAATGTAGTTTAAAATGTACTTTATTCTTGTGTTTGCAAAGCTGATTTTTCAGCCGCATTACTCCAATCTTCAGTGTCACGTGATTTGACTTCAGAAATCATTCTAATATGCTGGATGGATGCTCAAGAAAATATTTCTTGGACACATTATTTATTTAGTAATCACCGTTTAAAACAGTTGTGCAGAATAATATTTTTGTTGAAAGCATGATAAATTTTTTATCAGAATTCTTGTAAGATAGTAAATGTCTTTGATAAATTTAATCCATTGTGGCTGAATAATAATTAAAAAAAATTTATTAAATAAATAAAATATCTTACTGACCCCAAACTATTCAATGGTAATGTAAACAACTCGCCTTCTTTCCTCAGCCGTCTTTATTCGCACTTTGTACTGGCTGGCTGTACGTGTGACAGGCCTGCGGACTTTCTGTTCAGTGGTGGCTGTTTTGGGTTTCTCCACCGGCACCGTCTTCTCTTTCTTCTTCGAAGCGATGGGTTTGCTGATGGCCGAGTGCCCTGTAACTAGAGGGGCTGACCTGGGAAGAGCACAAGCACCTGCTTGGGTGACAGTGCCTGGGACGTTCTGAGGTATCCGTTTATGGGAAACGGACACCTGGACTGGTTTTTCAGTGGCATTCAGCTGGATATCAGAGACAGATTTCGGTCTAGATGACACAGCAGAGTTTACTCTGGCTTTAGTGGACGTTGGCAGGGAAGAAACAGACTTGGACCGAACTTTAGGCCATTCAGGTTTTGGTCTTGTCACATCCAGTTTTGAAATCACTTTCTTTTCTGTGGTCTTCACATCAGCAGCACTGGGTTTTCTGAAACAGTCGATTTTAGACTGTACTACACAACCCTTATACATACCAGGATTAGATTGCTGGATGGCAGAGACACTAGAGGGTGGTTTTTGAACTTCTTTCACAAGATTCCTGTGTCTTACAGTCTGCTGTGTACGGAAGGCCTGGCTTAATGTGTTACGCTTGGTAGGATCAGCATTAGTTTTGGTCTTCGGTCTAACATCCTTTTCCTTCTCTCTTGTTCCAGAGTTGCCCTCCGTAAGATCATTCTTCGACTGAAGGGGTGCAGATCTACATATCACTTTTTGTATTGATACGGTACCACTGATGACTTGTTTTTTTGGGCCACCTACTGATTTAGTGTTTTCCTTGTTGCTCTGAATAGAAAGAATAAAGAAGCTGAATTAAGCAAACTACATTTCAAGCACACAGACATCTTTCACACTTCTAAATGTAAAAAATGTTAGAAATCTATGAAAGAGCCGGCCTACATAAAATGCAATGATCACCTTTCTCACCACTGGCTCCATTCTGTGCATCTACAAGTGCAAGGCCAGATGATGGTCTTCCCCTGCAGAACATTGTTATAACATTCAAACAAACAAACAAAAAAAGTAGTGTTAAAAAATATCAACATTTCCATTTTTAAAACATATATACATATAAATATATATATACACATACACACATATATACACACGTGTGTGTGTGTGTGTGTGTATATATATATATATATATTAGCGCTGTCAAAATTAGTGCGTTAATGCAGGCGATTAATTTTTTCCTGTTTAATGGCGTTAACATTTTTTAATGCAGTTAGCACATGGGTGGAGCTAGGGTTGTGTTCTAACATGGGTAAGTTGGGAAAATAAACCTCTCGTCATGCTATTCTGGCCTCCTAGTAAGGATACAGTGTCACAGTGATGTGAAATATGATCGGGAGTCTGCACAGGGTGTTTATTTTGAAATTGGGGATTTTTTGCTGGTGGTAAACACAAGCATTGACTAGGGACACCAAACGCATTCTTGGAGGGCCGGTGTCCAAGTTTGGTGACCCCTGCTCTACAATCAATGGTTAAAATTTAGGGGGAAAAAATAACAATTTCCTAGAGACATCAGTAGTATTGGTATCAGTGATACTCGCCTTCAGTCATAAAAAAAGATGTCATTAAACAAATATTAAATATATAAAGTATATTTAAAAAATTTAATGTTAGGTGGGATTAATTAATTTCAGAAAAATATGTGATTAATTAGTTAATTTTTTAATCGATTGACATACATTAGATAGATAGATAGATAGATAGACAGACATAGGCTGTAAACTACACCAAAATTATACAGGTAAAATTACACAATGCATAATTTTTGGGGACTTTTATTTTAAGCACATCAAATTGTGTTATAAAATAGAAACTGGGTATTAATACCTAAATACTACATACATAAATACCTCATAACATGTCAAACAGATTAATTCCAAATATTTCCCACTTTTATATCAGTACTAAAAGAGATCCCATTGTACTAACACTTCAAGAATATCCAAATCATGACATTACTGGCAAACCATTGATAACAGTTGCCAAAACAATCTACTTACGTTATCTACGGTTTCCTCAGTCAGCCAGGTAAGACAAGTATAAGAATCTGAGTTTGAAAAAATGAATTTGAAGAACATTCATGAGCACACACTCTATCAAACAACCCCGCGCTTCCGCGTGTCAGCAGACTCACTTCCGGTTTCAATTAATAGTCTAAAATAATTTCCGCCTGCTGCATTATTGTCAATGGGTTGTAGTAGCCAATATTGACAAGCAAATTAAAACTTTGTTGAACTTGACAATAAACATCAGTATTTTTAGACGATACCCTACCATGTGTGTAATCTTCCATTTTAACGTGAAACATTATGTAAGCATCCGGTTGTCAGAGTTGTCGGTGTGGCTTGAGATAAATGAGAATCTGCTCACAAATAAAAGTTTTTGTTTACAAAATATGTGTGTGTGTACTGTGTATATTTATTATGTATATATAAAGACACACACATACAGTATATATATTGAAAATATTTACATGTATACTGTATATAGTCATATAATTTATATTAGACAAATATATTTAATATATAAACAACATTCTTCTTAAATATATATATGCATGTGTGTATTTATATATACATAATAAATATACACAGTACACACATATATTCTGTAAACAAAAACTTTTATTTTGGAAGAGATTAATCGCGATTAATCGTTAGACAGCACTAACACTGACCCTGGATTATTGCTTTATCTGTACAGTAATACAGACTCTTATCAGAAATGAGTACTACATTCACTCAGTGACACGCTTTGACTAATAATTCAGGTCAACACATGAGGAAGAATGTGCAATATGAAAACTGTAAAACATCTCATCACACTTTTCACAAAACACCATCTACATTTCCACTTTATGGTATGATTTATTCTTTGGAGCAGCCCATCATGTAATATATTAAAGTACCACAATATTACCATGTGATACCTTCACTGTACTATGGTACCACCTCAGCATCACGTCTAATGGGGATTTATGATTGGACAGTAATAAAAAACGATAATTGAACTATTGCATTTGATTACCCTGGTAAATTGTGATTTGTGAGAACAACAACAAAAGGAAAAGACATTTCTGTATAAAACAGTATTTATTAAAACAATTACACATACAAAAAAGCTCATAATTTGTAATGAAAAAGTGGGACTGTTTGTGATCTGATGACATGATCTTTGCATGAAATCACAGGTTTTTTAACATTTTCCCTCCTGATCCGAGCAGAAATGATAGCCTTGAATTTGAATGTCACTTCCTGGTGGTATTTTGAAACGGCATTTGCGTGTGATGAACTTTAGGCCGCTGTGTCATTTGATAGTTTCCTGTGTCCTGTCAGATGGAAGAAATGAATCATTTGATAATGCAAACACAACCTTCTCTGTGATAATCGTACGCAAGCACACGTTTGAGAGCTGTACATGTGTGCATTAGACACAGGGTCTCAGCACGAGTGTCCCAACACAGGGAGTCCGGCTTCACCGGCCGTTTCGGGACAGACTTCCAGACGGGCCAGCCGGCTCTGCTCCAGTGCGATGGCCTCCGCCGAATGTTTGCATTTCTCTGAGCCGCACTGACAGGTGAAGTACTTGCTCTTGATGTCCCAGAAACGATCGCCGTAATCAAACCTGTCAGAGATAAAAAAAATAAAATAAAATCAGTGATCATAAAATAAACAGGAGGAAAATGTGTTAACAGGAACAGGATGCAAATACAGCCATAAATTCCTTGGGATCGAGCCACGAGGTCGTGAGCAATAAATTCATAAAGCAATTAAGTACAGCTTTCGTCAGTGAGATAACAAACAAACACGGTCTCACCCGAGCTCCTGTCCGGTGAAAATGTCTCTGGAGCTGAAGAAGGCGATGCGAGGGAAGCGCAGGTCCTGGTGCAGCATGAACACACGTACGGGGATGATGTTGGGGTCACACAGATGGTTTATAAAGCGGCTGATGTTACCGTAGTAACGGGCGTCAATACAGTACACTTCACCATCCTGCCAAAGACAGGGTTATTACAGTTAACTACAACTATTCAAAACAGTTCTGTTAATTGAAATAACGTGTAAATAAAATATAAATGTTAGATGAAAAACTTAGTTGAAACACTAAAATTACTAAATAGAAATAAATAAAAAATAATAAAACTGAAATAAACAAACCTAAATAGTAATAAAAAAAAAAAAACTAATAAAAAAGATAAAAGCAAAGATCAAAATGACTAAAAAAAATTAATGGAAATTAAAATGTAAATGAAACGGAAATTATGAAAATAAAAGCGAATTCAATATATCAATAAAAACTATAATGGTATATAATGTAAATAATAATAATAATACAAAATTTAATAATAATAAAAGTACAAAGTAAAGCAATAAAAATATATTAAAATTAACTATAATATATAGTGTATATAATAATAATAAAACAAATTAGATGTGCCTTAGCAACTGACTGAAACAAGTTTTAGTTGAAGCAGTAAAATTACTAACTGGAAATAAATAATAAATGTAACTATAACTGAACTAAAATACATTTATATAAATAGTAAAATAAAAAAACTAATGAAAATGACAAACAGAGCAAAATTACAAACATTTTTACTAAAATGAAAATCAAAATAAAACTGAAATTATGAAAATAAAAGCTAATTCAATATATTAGTAAAAATTATAACAGTATATAATGTAAATAATAATAGTAAACAAAAATGAGAAATTTTGCCTTGGCAACTGACTGAAAGAAATTGTAATAAATAAAAACTAAAGCTGAAATAAAACTTAAATTGCATTTAAATCTAAATAGCAATTTGCAAAATTACAAAAAAATCTAAATGAAATGATAAAAATAAAAGCTAATTCAAATTCGATAATAATATATAAAGTATACAATTTATGTAATGTCTGATAGCCTGGAATTCCAGATTATAGATGCTGATAGTGTGGCTCTCTGAGAACTAAATATTACTTACATTGCACATAGATGACGTTTATATTGCATTGCATTTTGCATCAAAGCACATGAATAGCCACCATGCATGCTATCTTTGGTCAGGAAATCAAACATTTTTTCATTGGTTCTCAAATTCGTTATGTATTTGTATAGTGCTTTTCACAATACACTTTGTTTAAAAGCAGATGTTAATGTTTATAATATCTTAATATCTTCCGATTAGATTAGAGCTGTACAATATTATAGTTACATTTTGCAACGATATAAACAAGCAAGCAGATTTGTGTTGTGGCGCTTTTGCGGCAAACGTGTGCCAGCGATGTTTGTCTGCAATTTGCATGATTTTGTCACTCCTTTTGAAAACAGGCCTTTAGACGGTCCACAATCTGGACTGAAATCAGTGACACGACACCTTGTTGTCCAGATCAAAGAGGTACGAATCGTCCTCCCTCACGTCTGCTTCTGCGTCAGAGATCAGCTCGCCAACATACCTGCACACACACACACACGTTACAGCAGAAATAACAGCTGTCCTGCTGAAAACATACAGCCTGAATGCTTTTACTCACTCGCAGATGAAACTTCCTTGAGGAATGTCCTGAAGCGCTCTGACGCCCCATCCCATCTTCTCCGTCCGGTAGAGCTGCAGACGCACCCTGAAACACACGATCCACTTCAGCCAGCAGCTTGCGCAAAAGCACTTCTTTAAAACACCTGAGGTTCATTTGACCCGCAAATCATCCCAATACAGCAAATCGACTATGAAAATCATCTTGGCTTACTTGATTCCAGCTTGAACCACTCGGTTCTTGCAGGATTTATGGCAGGAACAGGCCATGTTGCACTCGAAGATCAGAGGCGGCTCGATTTTATTAAACTCCTGAAGGAGGCGATGATCCTACGAGAACACATGTGTGCTGTTATACAGGATCCATGTTGATTGTAGAGCTCATCATGGAGATGAAGCAGTATTTTACCTTGTCATACCAGCAGCGGATGCTGAGCTGCCCGCAGAGACAGTTACTGGAGGAACAGTCGTCTGTACAGCTGCAGTGCTGAAACAAACACAGCTCTCTATAAAATCAGCACATTAAGTGTGGTAGTCCTATTATGAAGAACAATTAGGGCCGAGTAATACTGAATATGGTGATATAATATGAATATAGTCATATTAAATGTGTGGGTTTTTATTTTGGTTTCTAATGTCCTAAGTGTTTTATTTTTATTTATCTGCAAATAATTCTTTATTTTTCTTTTATTGACATTGACTTAAGAACAGATCAGTCTTTTTGGTTGGTTTAGTCATAAAAGTGTCTAAATTGATTTGAATCAAAATGACAGTTTCCATGATTCAGTTGTTTCAAAAGTCAATTTCAACGATTCAATGATTTGTTTGCATCTCAAAACTGTTCATAGATGCAAGAACTTTTCTGACAGACACTGAATAATTTTATTCACCAAGACTGCATTAAATGAATAGAAAAAAATGACAGTAAAGACAATTATAATGCTTCAAAAAAAATTCATTTAAAATAAAAGCTGTTCTTTTTTAAACTTTGTTTCCCTGATTCCCCAAAAATATGGAGCAGCTCAACTGTTTTCAACAGTTTTCATAATAATCAGAAATGTTTCTTGAGCAGCAAATCAGCATATTAGAATGATTTCTGAAGGATCATGTTACACTGAAGACTGGAGCAATGGGGAGTAATGGAGTACTTTTTTACTGCATTTTAAATCAAACAAATGCAGCCATGGTGAGCAAAAGAGACTTCTTTCAAAAACATTAACAAATCTTACTGACCCCAAACTTTTCAATAGATGTCCATGTTGGAAAATATCGCTCTTTATTGTAGTATCAGTGCATATGAATAAATATCATTAAATATCATTCTTCCTTGTATTCATCTATATTGTTGAGTGTTGTGTGTGAAGTGTGTGTTGTGTACAGTGTATTCTGTAGTACCTGCAGGTGTGTGATGTTGCGGTCGATGTTCATGGTGGATGTTTCACAGTTCTCTGCGATGTATTTGTAGTCAGACGGACAGCCTTCATCGTCCACGCCGTTAACACACGGGATGGGAACATTCTCATAACCCTGAGCGACGTCACTACACAACACGCACGCACGCGAGCACACACACACACACACACACACACACACACACCAGCGTTATTAACTACAACTAAAAGGTATTAAAAGTAGGGATGCACCGAAATGAAAATTCTTGGCCGAAGCCGAACAAAATGAAACACTGGGCCGAAGGCCGAATACCGAACACGGTTTTTCGCATTTTTTCCCCCCATTTTGCCAATTTTTTTCACCATTGCATAAATTAAATAGCCAAAATGTGCTTTAAAAATATTTACTTAACACTGAACATTTTTTTACATTCTAGCAGACATTATACCAATAAAACACAATTTAACTTAAAATTAACAAGTTTAATTAACAAATATTTTTTGGCCATTTTTGAGACCCCCTTCTTGAATCAGGCATGTATTTTTTACTGTACAAATAAATGCAGCCTTGCTGAGCAGAAGAGACTTCTTTTAAAACATTAGAAAATATTACAGATCCCAGTCTGAACACTATGTGTGAATGCTATAATAAATGTATTAATAGAGCTGTTGTAATTATTATTATTATCCTTTTTATTTTATTTTACAAAACAACCGTAAAATTACAATAATAACATTTATTAATGTTGATGGAGTTCTTGCTTTTTCTCAGCTTTTATTTTGGCAGAAACCCGCAGGAAGACCTCAGACCACACACTGACCTGCATATGATCCTCTCTGTCCGTACAACACGATTGGAGATTCCCCGACGCAACTTCCTGTTAATCTGTAGCGCCACCCAGACGGGCGTTTCACAGCGGGCGAGAGAGAGCGGCGTGTCGCCCTCCTTATTCATAATGTCAATGTCAGCGCCTCGAGAAAGAAACAGCCTGGAGTAAAGACGAACAGAAGACGTCAGATGAGCCTACGACACCAAAAGCAGCTCTCAGGCGGCGTTTGACCCACGTGACGCAGTCGGTGTAGCCCTCGCGAGCGGCGATGTGCAGCGGCGTGTCTCCGTGCAGGTTAACGGACGACAGAGGACAGCCGGCATTCAGGACCAGCTCCGCTATCTCAGCGCTGCCCGCGAACGACGCCCAGTGCAGACAAACGTTCATCTCCTGCACAGACAGACAGACACTGTGAGACAGGGCTGTAACCACCATAGACAATGAGGAGGACAAGTCCCCACCAATAATTAGAATTCTGTCATGACAACTCTCGGAAGGATTGGCATGGTAATGTACATGACAATGTTAATGTATTTGGTCTTGGCGGAATAGATCTGCTACGCTGCTGCGGCAGAGCAAGTGCAGAGACTTGCTACTGCCAAAACATCCACAACATGCTGCTGTAAACATGTAAGAAATATTGCTGCTGCACATATAACACATGTGAATAACCCCCCATATATCATACATGAATCACCCCGTAGCAGATCTATACAGGTGGAGCTGGGGATGGTGAAGGGTTTCTGAAGTGCGCTGCTACTGCTACAGCAAACAAAAGCCAGGTATTTGAATATTGAGCAGCGAGCTCATTGGCTACCGATATAGGAGAGAACCAATCAGCTGCCATGTGACGATGTCGCCAGGTCAGATTGAGCTAGACCTATTGGACTGCGCCATCTAGAGTTTCATGCCAGATGAACATTCATGCCAGTTATATGGCCAATCTGTCCCGCCCAATATTTGAAATTCTTTCACTGATCTGCTGCACTCCACTCTGTTTTTTAGGATGACAAAAAGGTTTAAAAGTTACATTTTCAGCCTGGCCTCCTTAACAGCGCTCGTCAATGTCAAAATAATTGAGAGGGCCAATCAAATCAAAGTATGCGGGCTTTACTGTTCACAGAAGCAGATTGTGGATTTCAGCACAAATCATCAATTTAATGTTGAAAGAGAGCGAGGTGAGATGGAAGTTGCAAATCATTTAACATTAGTCAACTGTTTTATGATAGAAAAGTTAAACGACAGCTATTTCAGTGATGCAAACTACTCCACTTTTTCCTCAAATATGGCTATTTTTAAAGGGTGAGAGAAAGAGAGATTAAAGTTGCATGTGTGAATTAAGTTACATGAGTGTTTGTGTCTCTCTACAAACAATGAAGCTGTGAGTTTTACTTCAAAACCACCTCGTTGCTGAGAAATATAGTGTAGCCATAGGATTTAGTATCGCTATTTTATTAATAAAAGTCAGTGTTGACAGCAAGTTTCTGAATGTTTCTGTGTGCGATCTCTGATCTCTGTGCGTCAATGAAAGCAGCGCATTAATATAGAGTGGTGATTAAATTGACGACTTGGAATTAAATGGTTTAAATGCACATCTGCATATATATATATATATATTTATGCATATAAAGTTGGTCCCCTCCAATGTTCAGGACATGGTTACGGCCTTGCGGTGAGAACGCTCTCTCTTCCTGCAAAACTCACATGATTCACAAGACTCACTTTGTCTCTGAGCGTGACGTCGGCTCCTCTGTTGAGCAGAGCTCTGATCACGTCTATATGTCGATGTTCTGCCGCCCAGATGATGGGCGTCCAACCGCCACTATCCTGAAACACAGAGATGAGGTGAAAACTAGGGAAAGCTTTTTTTACGTCAAAGAAATATATATATATATATATACAGTGGGTCTGAATACTTTCCGTACCCACTGTATATATATATATATATATATATATATAAAAATAACAAAAAGGGTAATTGCTACTTCCTATCTCACAATTGTGACATTTTCTCACAATTCTGAGTTTGTATCTTACAATTCAGAATGTTTTCTCAGAATTGCAAGATATAAACTGGCAATTGCAAAATGTTAACTCACTATTGCAAGTTTATAACTCACATTTCAGAAGAAAAAATCTGATTAAGAGATAAAAAAAGTGCAATTCTGAAAGAAAGAAAAAAACAGATTTGTGAGATATAAACTTGCGAGAAAAAAATATTATAAACTCATAATTGCATTTGCAAGACATAAACTTACAATTCTAAGAAAAAATTGTTATGAGATGTTGACTTACAATTTTGAGTTCATACCATGCAATTTTGAGAAGATAAGTATTTTAGCGAGTTCATAATAGTGAGATATACAATTGCTGTTATGAGAAGAAAAGTCTGAATTGTGAGATAAAAAGTCAAGCCTTGTGAGCTTGTTTCCGCAACAGAATATAAAAATAAAAAAGGTTATTTTTCTCTCACAATACTGATTTTTTTTCTCAAAACTGCGAGTTTATATCTCAGACTTTTGTCTTGCAATTCTGAATTGTGAGATATAAAATCAGAATTAACTCGTAATTTGGAGTTTGTGAGAAGTCGTCACATTGCGAGTTCATAATAGTGAGATATACAATTGCTGTTATGGGAAGAAAAGTCTGAATTGCGAGATATAAACTCTTAATTCTGAGAAAAAAAATCAGAAATGTTAGTATGTTTCTGTCATGGAATAAAAAAAAAGTAATTGCTACTTTTTAATATCACAATTCTGAAAAAAAGTCATAACTCTTGAGATATGAACTCATAATAATTGCAAGATGTTAAAGGATCAGTTCCCTTCCAGAATAAAAAAAATTCCCTATAATTTACTCACCCCCATGTCATCTGAGATGTTAATGTCTTTCTTTTTTCAGTCACAATAAAATTAAGTTTTTTTGAGGAAAACATTCCAGGATTTTTCTTCAGTGGTGCTCACTGGATTGAAGGTTAAAACGCTGTTTTAATGCAGCTTCAAAGGGCTCTACACGATCCCAGCCAAGGAATAAGAGCATGATCTAGCTAAACGAATGGTCATTTTCTAAACAAAATTCACATTTATATACGTTTTAACCACAAATCCTTCTCTTGCTCTAGCTCTGCTTGCGCATGCGCGTCTTCACGCATTATGTAGTCATGTTCGAAACGTCACTTTTTGGTTAAGAAACTGTCAAGAGACGAACTAATGAGTTCAGAAACACACCTGTGCGTTTAAGTCCACCTGTCCGGTGCTCAGTAACAGCATCAGCACCTCCAGGTTCCCCAGTTTAGCAGCGTGATGAAGACCTGTAGATCCGTCCTCTTCCTGAACAACAAACACTAGGACTGTCAAAACGGCTGAAAAAACTAAATTCGAATTTTGTACTTAAATATTGTCAATATTTGCATTTTGCAAGGCATGAGTTCAGTTCGGGGGAAAAAAAGCTTTTGGCTTCTCTCCTGAGACCACAAGAGGGCGCATCGAGCAAAATATTACTATTGCACGTTTATTCAAAGCATTAAAATAACACGACTATCTGTGAAAAAAAGTGCATAATGTTTAAAATAAGGTTTATAAACCAAATATTATTTATTAAGTTGCTTAAACAATTAGAAACAAAACAGCATCATGTATGTATGCATAGTTTAATACAAAGGGCCAAAAACCCATCACAAAGAGTACTTTTTTCATTTAAAATCATGATATGCAGTGGGATGGGAAAAAAAGTTGAACTTACATTAATTTTACATGGCTTTCTAAACATGCGTCTCTCTTGTGCGAGACGCGAGTGCAGCGGTGATAGATGTCCCTATAGAAAATGTGATAAATATGCGTTCTGTGTGAACGGCTTGGTTCCAGTTTTGACGTAAACAAGCTCTTCTCCGCATTTATGTTCTCTTTTTTCCGCAATATTTTGAATGAACAATGCAGCAGCGCCACATGTCATCTAGTGGGTTCAACTGGATAGGCTAACAAAAACATTAAAACACTTCTATTGTCATCGCATCTCGCGTGTCACTAATAAGGCTGCCTGACGCACAACAAAAGTGGATTTTTATTTTAAATTCCACGAATATTTTAAATTCGAATGTTTATTTGACAGCACTACTGAACACACTCACAACATCAAACAGAGCATGGTCATGCGTTTGATTCACACATGAACTGATCAAATGCAACACAAGTCGCGCTTTGTCTGCCAAAATGCATTTATGTTCATTTAACTTCACACAAAGCTAGAATATTTATGTTATGAATATTCAAGTGGTTCGGGCTATTTTTTTTAAGTCAAGAACTGCCAGGATATGAGGAATAATTGACCCCTGACTGTTGAATTTTTAAAAATAAACCCAAACTCAGAGTGTAACAGCAATTATGATTAACATGCATTTTCATTGGTCCACTGTCAGATATTACAGACAACAAAGGCTCTGGATCAGGAGTGTGTGTGCGTGATACTCACTGCATGATAGACGCAGGCTCCGCTCTGGATCAGGTATTTCACCACCTCCACATGATTGTTCACTATGGCCTCTAACAGAGGGGTCCTCAGGGTCTTATCCTGGGCGTCCACCTTAGCGCCTGCCTAAAATTAACCACAGCACAAAAGCAGGAATTTTAATGGAAACTTTCCTCAGATACAAACTGAGACAAGCCCATTACTCAAAAAACAACAACAATTCTCTGCAGCAGTGATTCCCAAACTTTTTTTTGTCAGCCTTTGACCTGAAATGCTGTCTTGAAGCCCCCCTAAGATTTTAAGTTAATGTTTTAATAATGTATCAAAACATTTGCATCTTCTCTAATGTCAGATAACGGTCACATGACAAACAGATAAATAATAATTTTGATCATTTATTTATTTTAATTTAGCATTTGTGTCTTATCTTTTAATTGGATTGTTTTTATTTTCAAATTATGCATTTTCATTTACATTTTTATGGTTTAACTAATTAAGTATTTTATTTTGATAATTTAAAAATAAATAAAAATTAAAAACTAATTTTAAAATGAAAATTAATTTGGCATTTTTATGTTTCAATTATCAAGTATTTTATTTTGATTGTTCTTATTTTATAATTGTATATTTTAATTTAGCATTTTAATTAATTAATTATTACTATGGAATTTATTATGATTGTTTCAATTTTTAATTTATCCCCAATTAGGCATTTTCATGATTTAATTAATTAAATATTTTAGTAATTTAACAATTAAACACTTAATAATCAATTAAATCAAAAGTAAAATACATAATTTTAAAATAAAAACTGTACTAAAAAATGTGTTTTAATTTTGCATTTTTATTACTTAATTGTTAATAGGCATTTATTTTGACTGTTCTCGTTTTATAATTCTGTATTTTAATTTTCTGCATTTTTATGACTTAATTATTACCAAGTATTTTATTTTGATTGATTTTTATTTTAAAATTATGTTTTGTTTTTTTATTTTGCCATTTTAGTAAGGGTTTTAATTTTGATGGTTCTTCTTATTTTCCATTTTATGATATAATTAATGATTAACTTTTTTCCATCACAAACCCCAGTTTGGGAAACACTGCACTACACAAACATCACCGTATGATCAATATATTCACCATATACAGTGAATTCTAGGAAGTTTAAAGCTAATGGAAGTGCTGTGAATGTGGAGCTCACCTGTATGAGCAGGTAACAGACCTCCAGCAGACCCCTCTGAGCGGCTGCGTGAAGAGCACAGCGTCTGTTCTGAGAGTCCGACTGATACGACGGGTCGATGCCCTCCACTGACAGACACACAGAGAGAGAATATCAGCTCTGATGCTGAAACCTTCAACAGATGTGTGATATATATATACACACACACACACACACACACACACACACACACACGAGTACACAGGTACGTACTGAGCATGAGCAGAACTCGCTGAGCTTCACCCTGTTTGGCTGCAGGATAGAGCTGACGGGGATGAAAGCGCAGCTTCTTCCTCCTGACCAATCAGAGAGAGCCAAGCAGATTACATGACAAAAACATCATCTTTAGCCTGAGTATGTTCAGAATAGCACACTACCATACTGTTTTTGCCTCAATTCTGTGCAGTGTATGTTGTTTTTTTTCCCAAATGCATACCGGTGTTATTTCGGTATAAATGACATTCTATTATAGTTTTTGTTAATATTTTGAATTAGAATTTATTTGTATATTTTCTGTTTTCATCTTGTTGAGTTTTGGTCATTTTGTTTCTCAAATTTGTTATTCAAATAGCCACAGTTCACAAAAAAATAAAAGTATAAATAAATATCTTTCTTTCATTATTTACTAGCTATTTCAAACCTTGATGTCTTTATTTGTGGCAGTTTTATTTTAGTATAATCTATATACTATAGTAGTTTTTGTTAACATTTTGAATTAGATCTTTTATATTTTAATTTTATTTTATATGGGTTTTTTTTTTGGTTTTTTTTTATTTTCGGTTTATACTTAAATTTTAGTTGTAGTTTTATTTTTATTTGAAGCAGTTTTAGTTATTTTAGTACTTAAAGCTAAACTAAAAAAAATGAGAAATGGGTATGGAAAACCTGGATACTGGAAGAATTTTAATATTGTGATTTATGGATCTGGAAAAATCATGGAAAATTTTTATAATAAATATAATTTTTCTAGTTATGTCAAATTCCTTTTTGTAAGTAAACAATCTAAAGTTCATGTTAAACTAAACGAAAATAAGAAACGTCTCCTTGGCAACTAGCTGGTTGATGCATATAACACCCAAGACTACAAAATATACAGTTGAATTCCATATCCCATAATGCAATGCACTCTCAGTGTGACGACTGAACCAGAAATAATAGAATCTGCAATTTTGAACATCTCTTTCTTCACTCATTTTTTATACTGACAATAATAAAGAATCACATGGTCACCTCTCAGTGTCCTGTGTGAGAATGGCTCTCTGTAGCGCCGCCCTCTTGTCTCCCGGCGGAAGTGCACTGGGACAGACTGGCTTCCCATTGGGCAGGACGAGCGACGGTCCCACACTGTCCACCCCGCCGTCGCCCAGGGCAACCACATCCTCTCCTGGAGTGGCATTGGCCTGCTGAGTTTGCAGCTCCGCCCCCTTTCTTACATCTCCACGACATCGCATCCTTGCACTGAGTGGAAATAAACATTTCAACATTAAACATTTCAATCAATATATTTCTGTGATGACAACTCTCGGAGTGATTTGCATGGTAATATACATGATTAACGTATTCGGTCTTGGTGGAATAGATCTGCTACGCTGCTGCTGCGGCAGAGCAAGTACAGAGACTTGCTACTGCCAATACATCCACAATATGCTGCTGTGAGCATGTAAGGAATATTGCTGCTGCACATATAACATGAATAAGCCCCATAGCATACATGATCACCCCGTACCAGATCTATACAGGTGGAGCTGGGGAAGGGGAAGGGTTTCTGAAGTGCGCTGCTACAGCAAACACTGCCAAGTATTTGAATGTTGAGCAGCGAGCTCGTTGGCTACCGATACAGGAGAGAACCAATCAGCTGTGCCATGTGAAAATGATGTCATTATGTCATATTGAGTTAGATCTATCGGACTGCGCCATCTAGAGTTTCATGCCAGAACTTTATATTTGGTACAAATGGCAACATTAGACAAAACACTTGTTTTTGTTTACTATTAAATAAATAACATTAATAAAGAAATAAAATTTTGTATATAAAAAATAAAATAAAAATCACAGTTTATTTTAAAATTGTTCTATAATGTGGGATGTTTTAAAAGCTTTCTTTGTTAGAGGAGATTTTTTGAAGTGATAATAGTAAACATAAATATGAGCTATTTTACTATTAAGCAACGCATAGAACTCACTTGATCGGCTCGCCCATCTTCTTCTCGTGGTTTAGCGCTCGTGATGTGGCAGCAAGCGCGGAGGGAAGTAGCGAGGGTGTGGTTGTGGTGGACGACGCGCTTGCAGTGACCACGTTCAAGCCTGAAGAGGGCGCTGCAGGAGGGATGGTGACTTCACGCGCCTCTGACGCGTCCTCACCGCAGTGAGGGCAGAATAGCAGGCCGACGCCCACTCCTCCTCGACTCTGCCCACTGCCCAGCACAGACACACAGCCCCGGTGGAAGCGGTGAGCAATGTGAACGTCTGGACAACATTCAAGAAACGTTCCCTGTGTGCAAAGAGGAGGATCTTTGAGCTTTCTGTTTGTGCGCTGATGAAAATCATAAAATTAAAATACATAATTTAAAAATAAAATACAATTAAAATAAAACACTTACAAAAAATAATGAAACATTTTATTAGTTAACCATTAACTTTTTTATTAAGATAAAATTTTATTAAGAACCATTAACAAGTAAAATATGCTATTAAATTACTGAAATTTGTTAATATAATCACCGTATTAAAGCATTTAGGCACCGGTTTAAATGAATAGTTCACAAAAATGTATAAATAAATGAATAAATAAATAAAATTCTGTAATTATTTACTAGCTGTTCCAAACCTATATGCCTTTATTTGTGACAGTGTTTTTTAGTATCTGAGTTATTAGTAACTGAGATAGTATTATAGTTCTAATCAATAGTTTGAATTAGATTTTTTTTTTATATTTTCTGTTTTCACTTTCATTTTAGGTTTTAGTAATTTTTGTCATTATTACTTTTATTAATTAAATTGTATTAAGAACCATTAACAAGTAAAATATGCTATTAAATTACTGAAATTTGTTAATATAATCACCGTATTAAAGCATTTAGGCACCGGTTTAAATGAATAGTTCACAAAAATGTATAAATAAATGAATAAATAAATAAAATTCTGTAATTATTTACTAGCTGTTCCAAACCTATATGCCTTTATTTGTGACAGTGTTTTTTTAGTATCTGAGTTATTAGTAACTGAGATAGTATTATAGTTCTAATCAATAGTTTGAATTAGATTTTTTTTTAATATTTTCTGTTTTCACTTTCATTTTAGGTTTTAGTAATTTTTGTCATTATTACTTTTAAATTACTATTAATTTATTTATTAGTATATCAGTGATACTAAAATAAAACCGCCTCATTCATACAATTTGGTGCTATTTTAGTCTCATTAAGATACTATTATAGTTTTTATTAATAGTTTGAATTAGTTTTTACTTTAATATTTTCTGTTTTCATTGTAATTTTGTAAGTTTTTTTTATTTAAATTTATTTATTAAATTTTTTTAAATGTCTATATACTTTTTATTCATTTTTATTTTAGTTTTAGTTATTATAGTAAGTTAAACTAAATGAAAATGAGAAATGTTGCCTTGGCAACTAAATTTAAAAATATGTTTACGGTCAAGTTAAAGTTAATTTTATTTCAAGTTTTTTGTTTTATTTAACTATAAAAACCCTGTGAAACAACCACTGTTGTATGATAAACAGCTGTGTAAAAATATTTTTTTTTTAAAGGGATAGTTCACCTTTTACTCACCCTCATGTTGTTCCAAACCTGTACAAGTTTCTTTCTTCTGTTGAACACAAAAGATATTTGGAAGAATGTTGGTAACCAAACAGTTGCCGGTAGCCATTGACTTCCATAGTATTTTTTTCCACACTACGGAAGCCAGTGGCTACCAGCAACTGTTTGTGATCAACAGAAGAAAGAAACTCATACAAGCTTTGAAACAACTTTAGGATGAGTAAATAATGACAGAATTGTCATTTTTAGATGAACTATCCCTTTAAATAACAACATACAACATAGGGGTGAGAAAATAATGTGTTTAGCTTTTTTATTTCTTCATATAACATGTTTTTTGTGGTCAGAGACACTCACAGAGAGGCAGAAGTATCCACAGCCCGGACAGCAGTGATGTTTCACCATGTGTGAACGGTGCGTCTCACACAACACTATTAGAGACACGCGGCTGGACGGACGCATCGTCTCCCCCTTCACGATCACATTGGTGCAGCCCACCAGCTAAAACACACAGAGGACGGGAGGAAACGTTGCAGCATGTATGTGTCCGAAAACGAAAGTTTCATACAAATTCTGAATGGATTATAGCCTAGAAAGCATGCAAAGCGCGCTCTCATTATTATCACTAAAATCATCACTCATCTTAGTTCACTGCGATCTCACAAAGTTCCGTTATAATCAATGAAGCTCTCTAAACTACACAATGAATCACGTCTGCACTTATGAGATGATTCACGAACGTGCAAAACTCCAGCGCTTTCAGCGGTGAGTGAATTCTGAAAACTAACGTTTCTGATTGGCCATTGTGTTGAAGAAATTAACAGATAATTTTCTGTTAATTTACGATAAATTTACGATAATTTACGATAAAACGATACAATACCTGGAAAATTATCTATATTCAATACAATTTTCAATATCACGACAATGAAAAATATATATAATGCAATATTACATACATTACATATCATTATAGTGTAAAATAATATATAAAATACAGTATTTCTAAAATAAAAATAATGACTATTTCATGGGAATTTTAGTTATTTTATTTTACACTGCAGTACAAAAAAAATCACAATACTTGTGTCTTATTTCATCAATTGCAAGAAGCTTTTACAAATATATAAAAATGATTTATTATTTTTATTGATTATTAGAGCTTCCACATATTTTTGACAAACGAATTGTAAAGATTTTCTCTTATTGGACAAGATTTTTAAATACTATTTTACACCAATACCTAGACGAGGATTTCCATGACTATAAATTTCCATGACTTTTTTATATTTAAAAGTAAATTAAAAATAATGTTTTAAGAACATTATTTTTTTTTTTTTTACACATTTTTTTAATATTTGACTAAAAAACTCTTTAAAATGTGTTGTTTCTATATACATAAACAACATCTTTTAATCAGCAGTTTTATATCTCTCCATTTTCTTCTAATTCGATTATGTCATTCGCAATGCTTCTTTCCCTCAATAAAGAACAAAGTCCTGTCTCTTTCTTTTTGTCCGACTGCCAGACTTTTTTTAAGCTTCAAATCAAAGTTTTTAATGTTGTGAATCACTTCGAAGCTGTTTGGTTTATGGCTTTTTTTAAATCCCTATGGGAAACAAGTGCGCTCAGCAGTCCAGGCTCACCTCTCCGTTGATGCTCTCTATGGCCATGCAGGTTCTGTTGGAGCGAGCGCTGAATCCGTCCACACGCGGCGCCTCCATCCTGCAGCTGCACAGAGGAAGCTCCTCCAGACGCTCCGTTTCTGCATCACTGCCATCTGCACACACATCATGTGACGTCAAACACACAGGCTTTATATTGGGATTATTTGGCCATAAAGACAAAGCTAATTTATCTCATACACAATGGTCATTCAAAGTGCTTTAAATCAGTGTTTCCCAACCTTTTTTTAGTCGCGGCACCCTTTGGAAATTTTAACAAACTTGTGGCACCCTACAAAATTAATTTTGTCACAATATTTTAATTTCTAACTTCGATATGATAATTTGAAAAGTATAGATATTCGGTACAACAGGGAAGAACTGCAGAATATAATGCCATACAGATATTTTTAATATTATT